GCGGCACTGGATCAGAGCAACGGCCCATCTCGGCTGGTAACCCCGCCGCCCCGCGGCACTGGATCAGAGCAACGGCCCATCTCGGCTGGTAACCCCGCCACCCCGCTGCACTGGATCAGAGCAACGGCCCATCTCGGCTGGTAACCCCGCCGCCCCACTGCACTGGATCAGAGCAAAGGCCCATCTCGGCTGGTAACCCCGCCTCCCCGCTGCACTGGATCAGAGCAAAGGCCCATCTCGGCTGGTAACCCCGCCACCCCGCTGCACTGGATCAGAGCAACGGCCCATCTCGGCTGGTAACCCCGCCGCCCCGCTGCACTGGATCGGAGCAACGGCCCATCTCGGCTGGTGTCCCCCTCTCACCTGCACTTGATTTGGCCCGCTAGTCCTTAGTATGGAAAGGCAGGGTGATACAGGTGCCTCAGAGGAAGGCCCCCGCCACCCCACAGTGCAACTGACCTAATGCTCTACGGGGGGGGCGGAAATTCCTTCCTGAGCCCAGATGTTTGCAGTCGCCTTAGCCCTCCCTGCACCTGCACTGCCAGCAGCGTTCCCAGCCAGGATGAAATTCTCCAGCCCTTTCTCATGTCGAGTTTGACCTGATCCGGCCCCATAAATCCTGGAGCAGGAACCCAGCACTGAGTCATGGCAGTTTTCCCTTTTTAAGCTGGTGCTGCCCCGTGCCCCTGGGTTTTGGGGAGATGGGATGAATTGATCTGATGGCCAGAAAGGACCATTCTGACCTCTGGTACCACACTCCTGCCCCGGGATCCTGCTGAACTACAGCGATGTTTCCGAAAGACGGCCCGTGTCGACTGAAAGAGGGCAAGTGCTGGACAATCCACCGGGTGCAGGGCAGCTGGTCCAATGGTTAATTCCCCTCCCGGTTAAAAATTTGCCCCTTCTTTCCAGTCTGAATTTGTCCAGCTTTGGCTCCCAGCCATGGGGTCTGGTTCTGCCTTGTCTGCTAGATTACAGAGCCCTCTGCTCTGAGATCTCCCTGTGAAGCGTTGACGGAGCAGCACCCACCTCTCCCATGACAGCGATGGGGGTCTCTCCCTTGGCCTGGGCCACTCGGTGCTCTATCAGATAGTACATGTACTCGTCGTAGAGGAGCCGGATGAGATGAAAGGAGCCGAAGCTGGCGGCGCTCCTCAGGGTCAGATCCCGGATTACCATGGAGCTGTGGAAAGAGAGCCCGGCTCTGGGGTTACCCCTCCCTCTGGGTCAGTCATCCAGTCCCAGACTGGGAGCAGGGGAGGGCAGGAACGTACCTGTAGAAGGACCACTTGAGGAGGAAAAGCTTGGCGGCCTTGGGGAAGCTGGAGCTGCCCTGGTGGGGCTTGAGGACCTGGGTGACCACCCCGTCCAGCCACACCGCCCACTGTTCCAGGGAGTTCTGCTGCTGCAGGGTCAGCTTGAAATCCTGCTCCAGGCGCTGCACCACGCGGTCCTCACAGCGGCACACCCACGAGGCCTGCTCCTGTGGGCGGGGCAACGACAGAGACACCGGCACCTTCAGAGAGGGGAGCAACGCGGCAGAGGGCCAGGGCCAGGGCTGGGCACTGGAGGAGTCGCATCCCGTGAGCTCAGCCCCGTCCACACTGTGACCCCCCGAGGGGCCAGCTCCATTTGCCTGGAACGCGGGGAGTTCGGAGTCCCCAGGAATGTCCCACTTGCCAATGGGCAGAACCCTCGGGAGCTGGGGGAGTCCCTGGCCTCAGCTTAGCAGACCCACTGGGAGGGTGGCGCACAGGGAGGGACGGAAGGAGCCCCTGGGGCATGCGATGAGCCAGCCTCTGTCGGGGGTGCCCTGGGCACCTCAGGCCCCCCCCACGCCAATGGGAATGGCTGGCGCGTGACACCTCTAACCAGCAGACTGGAGGTGTCTCAAATTAAACATCCAGCAGCAGAGGCAGCTTTAGAGAATTTGGGTCTACATCATTACGATTCACAACCTGTTGCTTAGGCAGCGAAGTGTCTTTATCCGCATCTTCCAGAGGGCGCAGAGAGGTGACAGGCCCCGGGCCCCGGGATGGAGCTGGGCCTAGAATTCAGAGGACCTAAACCCCAGTCCCCTGCTCTAACCACTAGACTGTGCTGCCCCCGTTACCACGGCATTGGGATAAGAGGCTGGTGCCAAAGGGTTCTGGGTCGGCTGTTGTGTTACTGTTCAGTCCCCCAGGGCACTCAGCAGGGCACAGAGAGTCTGGGCCAGTCTCCTGGGAATCACCTACCAGCTGTACCCACTGCAGAGGATGAGAGAAGCCGATGGCCCAGCTCACTTCACTCAGCTCCCTCTGAGCTATGCTGGCAGGTGGGTCGGCAGCTCTGACCCAGCCCAGGGGGTTCCTGCCTGCACAGCGCTGGGGCAGACAGGCAAGCACCAAAAAATGGCTCATCGTGCAATTGGCCAGGGGAGGAGGGATTCTGTTACCTGGACGTTTGCAAAGTCCACCCGATTGAGGTCGCTCAGCATCTGGTTGATCTGGGCCGTATTCTGTAATACGGCCCGGGCAGCCTGGGCGAGGTGGTTCAGGGAGGTGTATCGCCGCAGAGTCTGGGCAAAGGCACTTGCTGCTGCCACCTGCGGAACAGACAGGGGTCAAACCCCCAGAGAGCGGGCAGGTTCCACGCACACGGCCTAGCTACAGGACAGGCACCGTGCCCTACGGTTGGGCACTGAGAGCTGGATCTGACGCCGACCAAGAGCCGGAAATCACTGCCCAGCACTGCCCAAGGGGCGCAGAGCCACAGACCACGTGACAATGAAGTCCAAGGATCAGAGAGACAAGAGCTTGGCACTGCCAGAGATCAGAGCCTGGCGCTGCTCAGGAGTCACACTGCCGAGGTCTGGGTCCCAGGCCATTCCCCCCTACGCCCCTTGCGCATCTCACCTTCACTCGGACCATCTCTTCAGGAATATTCATCATTGCGTTGGTTAACCAGCTTTCCAAACTCTTGGCGAAATTTCGGATCGCTTGCGTCAAGGCACCTGGGATAGAGAGGGGCAGTGAGACCCTCGCACAGCCACGGATTGGCCAGCTGCTCAGGACTAGGGGGAGGAGCCCGTTCCCTGGCGTGGCACTAGACTGATGGCTTCGAAAGCTAACCCTAGGGGACAGCGGCTAGGCCTGGAGCACACAACCTGACCAGATGAGGCAGTGTGGCTTAGAGGCTAGAGCACAGGCCTAGGCCAGGCCTTGGGAGACCCGGGTTCAATTCCTGGCTCTGCTACTGGCCTACGGGTGACCTTGGGCAAGTTGCCACCCTGCTCTGTGCCTCAGTTTCCCCATCTGTTCAATGGCGCTAACGATACTGACGTCCTTTGTACAGTGCTTTGAGATCTACAGGTGGGAAGCTGTCCTACGTAGGAGGGGGCAGGATCAGCTGTGTTGTGGAGGTACCATCACAACTCTAGTGTGGTGACCGTGGGACCAGTGTCCAAGCCTCCAGCCCTGTGGAGTCAGCGCAAGGAGCCAGGCTAGGCAGCTCTACCACAGCCCTGCACTTACTGGGAATGGGCCGGAGAACGTCGGGGATGAGGATTTCCACCAGCCCCTGGTACAGCATGTTGTCACAGTCCTTTGTCCATTTCAGGACAGGTTCGTATTTGGACAGTATCACCAGGCAGTTCTTTGGGAGACGCTTCTCTGCTTCATCGTGACTAGACAGACGCGTTTGCCCCAGTTAGTGCATATAAGAGCCACATATCAGTTCACCCCAGAAACACTACAGCTGAGGCCCCGTGTGCTTCATACCATGCTAGAACTAGGTTCTACAGTCAGGCCTGCTAGGTTGCACAGCAGTCTAGAAACTCTACGGAGCAGCTCTGTTGGCCTAGTGGTTAGAACACTGGACTGGGATTCAGGTGTCCTGGGTTCTATTCCTGGCTTTGCCATTGGCCTGCTAAATGCCCTTGGGCAAGTCACTGCCCCCTGTCCCTCAGTTTCCCCGTCTGTAACGGGGGTGAATGAGACCATCTTCCCTTGAAAAGAGCTTTGAGATCTACCAATGAAAGGCGCTACGCACGAGCTAGGAATTATTTCGGACAACGCTTGGCTGCACTCGGGGAAGCAGGAGCATTTAGCAGTTGGGAGCAGAGTGCTTGGGGAGGCAGTCTTGGGTTATGGAGAGGGTCTGACTGGCTTCTCCGTCTCCTTCCCCACCCCAGAATCTCTTGACTGCAATGAGCTGCCCCTGCCCTGCCAGTGAATTCCACAGCGCTGGCTCACCCGCATTAGCAGGCTGTTTTTGCCGAAATGCTCAGCAGGGAAGGAGTTAATGCGATGATGATAAACAGTCATCAGCTATCTCCAGGGGTGCTGAATGGGGTGGTTCACACCTCCCAGGTACTAGCTGCAGACTCAGGCAGTCTTCCCCCTACCCCCACCCCGCCACATACACCATTAAAGGGCTAGAAACCAACTTTTTCCTGAACTGAATCTTTAATTCTGCAAAGACCGAGGGCCACCCACTGCAGAGGGGCTGGGGCAGTGCCCCAGCAAGGGCCAGCTCGCTCCAGCCCCCGCTGCCATGGCAGGGAAGAGAGGCACGGTTCGCGGGTACTCACACTGCTATGGGGGTGGCTTCACTGGGCTGATTCAAATTGTACCTCCAGAAGGTCTTCCATAAGGTCTCCACCAGAGTGAACTGCAGGTTTATCATCACGTCCACGATGGCCTGAAGAGAAGGAGCGGAGGGTCAGCACTGATGTAGGCCATGGGTCAGTAGCTATGAGGTGAGTGGCCCCTTGTCCCCAGTCTTCTGCCCTGGTCCTCCTAAGATGTTCCCTTCAGAGCACGCCCCAGGAGGAGCAGCTGCATGGGGGGGCCTGAGATGAAGAAGACCAGTGGGAACCTCACACTGAACTGGCCAATGGGGCATTCAATGATCCATCTGTATTAACGCAGCCCTGGCGCTTTAAAATCCCCCTGTGCTGCTGGACAGGAACAGCTAGATTTGTACAGGAGCTCAGTGGAAGTCACCACGCAGGGCTGGAGGAATTTTAAAGGGGCAGAACGGTACCACCATCTCCCTGAAGGAGGATGTCATGGGGTGGCCTGTGACAGATCAGCTCACCTTCCCAGGTGGGAGAATGATTTTGGTCATGTGACCGGAAGATCATGTGACTAACTCAGGCCAGACCTAGGGATGTACAGTCTGAGGGAGATCTTAGAACTCCAGCTAGGCAGAAGATTCAATGGATTCCAAGACCTAAAGGGACCACTGTGATCATCAGGTCTGACCACCGGCGTAACTCAGGCCAGAGAACTTCCCTGAAGAAAATTCCCAGAGCAGATCTGTTAGATAAACATCCCCGCTTGGTTTAAAACTTGTCAACAACAGAGAATTTGCCACAGCCCTGGGTAAGTCGTTCCAACGGTTAAGTGTGCATCTTATTCCCACTCTGCATTTGTCTAGCGTCAACCTCCAGCCATTGGATCGTGTTAGACCTTGGGCTGCTAGATTGACGAGCCCTCTATAATCCAACCTCTGTTCCCCAGGGAGGTACTCACAGACTGTGATCAGGTCACCCCTTCCCCGTCTCTGTGTTAAGCTAAACAGACTAAGCTTCTTGAGAAGCTGGGGAAGCTGCAGCTTGTCTGAGGAAACAGCTGCAGGTGAGTGTGACAGGGAACAAGACTGGTTCCTGCAGGGAACGAAGGGACTGTTTGACCAGAACATAGCTCTGGGAAGGAGAGGGGGTGGGGGACGACGACTCCTGATTCAAGGAAAGAAACTCTGATCTGGGCTTGGGCCTGGAAGACCAATGTCTGTATGGCCTAAATAAACTGGATCCTGCTCCAGAAGGGAAATGTTTTAAAAGGACATGGACTGGGTGAGCTATTCAGGGGTCCAGGAGGGGAAACTGAGGCAAGGTAGCACCGATGAAAGCAAAGAAAAAAGGTCTACATTTTTAGTGGAAAATTTAGATTTCCCCCCCCACACACGAAAATTAAAATATTTTGACCAAAACCTAGAAGTTTTGATATGGAAATGCTGCTGAAGGACCTTGTGGGAGCTGTAGTTCAGTACCTTCATGTTCCTGTTGTCCTCTATAGGCTGGGCTCTTGTGTCGGGCTACATCTCCCATGATGTATTACAGATTCACCTTTTGGAGGAGGTGGTGCACCATGGGAAATATTGGCAAGTCCAGCCCATAGAGGAGAACACTTGCCTTATGTCCCTTATGAGCCAGGCTCCCCAACTAGACTACATGTCCCATGATGCACCATGGCCAAGGAAATGCAATATGCACCATCTCCTCTCTGGAAAGGAGACAAAGGTGCATCATGGGAAATAAATTATAAATATAAAAATAAAATAAATTAATGGAGATATCCTATCTCCTAGAACTTGAAGGGACCTTGAAAGGTCATTGAGTCCAGCCACCTGCTTTCACTACCAGGACCAAGTACTGATTTTGCCCCAGATCCCTAAGTGGCCCCCTCAAGGATTGAACTCACAACCCTGGGTTTAGCAGGCCAATGCTCAAACCACTGAGCTATCCCTCCCCCCTGTAGTACAAAATGGTAGCACAGCCCACAGAGAAGAATGAGAACATGAGGTAACTGAGCTACAACTCCCATGAGGCACTGCAGTGGCATAGCCAAATTAAAAAAAGATTGTTCTTTTTGGGTGCTTAGTTTTCTACACAAAGTAGACACTTCCCCTTCAATTTTCCATTGAAAAACAAATTTGATGGGAAAATTTCATCCAGTCCTACATACAGGCCACCCAGTGGGAACAAGGTCTGTCCCTACCAGCCTGTGCTGGATTTAAACCTGTCGCCATGAGGCAAGAAGGTCCATGTCCTGTTGCCAGTGCTTCTCCAGGGGAGATTGCCCCCTTCTGCAGGTGGCCCCATACCTCACAATGCTCTCGGTAGAGCAGCTGGAAGGCCTTCACATCTTCTGCCCCGATGCCATCAGGCAGAGGTTTCCCTTGTAGGTCTATCTCAGAGAACTCGGAGAGGGTCCGTGACGCATCTATGGGGAGGGAGATGAAATCAAGCCAACGTGAGGAGAGAACAACAACACGACTGCCTTTGAGGGCCCGAGGGCCTTACTAAGCTTAACATCCATTGGTTTCAATGGGTCTTGGCCTAGGTACGGCCACCAGGGTTTAGCTCGGTATCTCCAGCTTCCCTGGGCTGAGAGAGAAGTTTGGACTCCGTGGCCCATTCAGTCCCTGGTCTCTTTGCTGACACTACCAACCACACGTCAATCAGTGAAAGCAGCGGTGGTGACGTCTGGAATGGAGACACAAATGAATGGGCAGAGACCCACGAGCACATTTCATGCACTCACCGGATAGCAATGATTTGACCACTGCTGGCCGGTCCTGGATTTGATCTGGCAAGCTAGAGGCGAAAAGCCCCTCTGCTGTTCCTCATGCCCTGGAATTCTGTGTTCCCCTCAGTCCCCTGGGTTGAAATTTAGGACGTGAACAGAACTGATCTCTAAGTCATGAGGGTGTGCTGGTAAGTGCCCCGCTGGAAATGTAGTGGATCCATTGTGAGGACCCCACCGAGTCTGATACGATTGTATCATGAGCATCAACCTCTAAGCGCTGACCGTTCCCACCTCCCTCCCCCACATAAAGAGCAGGATAGGAAAGTGCATTCTCTTGCCTTCCATCGACTCAATTAATTCCTGTCCCAGCCTCAAGGTGCCAGGTTGCTAAACGTGCTCTACCGCCAGGTCTTACCCAGGAACTGCTGATACTGCTGCACTTGAGCACTGATGTCAGACAGCCCGGAGCCCGGCTGCTGGCCCACCGCCGCCCCGTTGGTCATCCCCTCCATCTTCTGAATGGGCTTGAGTCTGAAAGGCAGAGGAGCCAAAGGTCAGGTGCCGACAGAGTTGCAGGCCTGCGAACCAGGCCGGGAAATGTGGCACCTGGGAGGGTCGTTGTATGAGTGGTTGCGCCTTGAGGTCACATGGGCGTGGAAGGGTGTCGCGGGGGATTTCCCATCCAGGCACTTCAGACAAGAGCAGTGGCCCTCTGTGTCTGTAGTCACCAGTGACTGATGGTGGATCCAGACGGGATTGCTCCGGCTGGGTGCGCGGGAGCATACATGGGTACCCACGCGGCTCTACACCGCGCTGCCTCCTACCTTTGCTTCTGGGAGAAAGGCTGCTGCCTCATGGCCAGGTGCTGCTGATCCTCCATCAGGCGCAGCAGTGGCGAGTTGGCTTTGATGCGGAGGCCGTAGTAGTGGTACTTGGAGTTCCCTCTGAAAGGAAATCAGGATAGATAAGAGCTCCGGGGACACACAAACCCACTGTCAAGTGTCTGGTATCGAGGAGGAAACATGATTCTGCATTGCCAGATTCTGCTTTCCCTTACCCCAGCCCAATCCCATCAACTCCAGTGGAGTTTGCTCTGGATTCATGCCAGCATTGCAGAGATCAGAATCCGGCCCTTCAGCTCTGCGTGGGATGCCAGGAGAACGGGAATCAGGCGTCTGTGTTTCCAGTTCCCATGCAAAGCAGTTTTCTGCAGTTCTTAGCAGGTGTAGGAGCCCGGCTGGGGCTGGTGGCAGCGCACCCACAGATGAATGGGAAACGAAGCAGCAGCCCTATATTAGGGGCCAGCACAGACCTTCAGCATGACAGGCCTAATCCTGTGTTTTTGCTGAGCACCCTCTGTTTGCCCGGATCTCAGTGGGTGAGGAGGCCACCAGCACCTTGCAGGTCTGGAGCCTGAAGTTCCCTTCTTGCTCCCGGTGAATGTTACCCAGGGCATGGTGGATTGTAAAGGGTTAATACCCCCAGCCACTGGAGATGCCTTTACCGTGTGCCAAGCCTGCGGGTGCGGAGTCCCATGAACACGGATCGGATCAGCTTGCCGAAAGACGCTGCGTTTACTGGCTCCAGTTTCTGCTCCTGGCAGTGCAGCAGGTAATGGCAGTAGAGAGTGCTGCGCGGCAGGCTCACGCCCTCGGCCGTCTCGTAGTTATCCAGCAGCCACTGGACCTTCAAAGAAACCCAGCAGCGGTTAGAGGGCTTCTTCAGGGCCACGACTGTGTCCACCAGACCCCCGCTGGCACAGACCTCGCCCCTCACATCGCCCACACTGACCCCGCTGTCTCCTTCACTGCCCCAATACAGGTGTCACCGTCACCCCCGTCAGCATTACCAGCATTGGCCCAGTTTTCAACCCCTGGCACTCCCTAAACCAGTCCTTGTGGGCTTGGGCTGAACATAAATGGCCATTTTAGGTGCCTACACGTGGATTTAAAGGGGCACAAGTCAAATGTACTATTAAAGCAACTACTCCTCCTGCCTGGGGGCTGCGTTTTGCACATACTCGCTACCAGGAGACATTCCACTGTCTTATGAGCATTATGCCTGGTAGTCAGTGTTTGTAGGACTGGGTCCTAGGGTACTAACAGGCACCACGAGAGGCAGTGTGGCCTAGTGGCTAGAGTACTAGCCTAGGACTCAGGAGACCAGGGTTCTACCCTTTAGCTGGACATACACATTTGCCACTGGCCTGCTGGGTGATCTTGGGCAAGTTCCTGCTGCTCTGTGCCTCGGTTTCCCCATCTGTAAAATGTGAATAATGATACTGACTTTCTTTTGTAAAGTGCCTTGAGCTCTATGGCGACAATTGCTAGGTACGAACCGGGTGTTAATTGTGAGAAGTATTATACACTTCTCCAGCCCCTTCCACCCAAGAATTCCAAAGTACTTTGCAGGCCCTAAGTTTTACAATCCAGCCCCCTGCTCCCCCACCTCTGACACAGGTTGCTGTTGTGAGCCCCATTTCCAGACTTGTCCAAAGTCACACACAGCGCGTCGGGGCAGAGTTGGGACTAGAACCTCAGAGTCTTGACTCCCAACAAGGCGTCTTAATGACAAGACCATCCTCCAGCCCTGGAAGAGTTAAAACTGACCCTTTTTTGACTCCCTTTGAAAGGATTAAAACTGACATGATGAATATCAAAAGTATTTTAAAAATCTAATTAACTTTTCCCTGTTTCCACTAGTTCAGGGTTCTGAACTGATGTGGGCTTGGATAGTGAAGACAGACTAGTCAGTTTCATAGTTGTTTCTAGTCAGTTTCACTTTCTGGCTCTCCTATGCTAGCACAAGGCTGCAATATTTGAGCGGTAAATGCTATGGTTTATTTGTTTTGTTGCTTTAAATGTTTCCATTGGATTTCTGCTGGTCTTGGGTTCGGTCAGAACTGATTTATACAAAGTATTCGTTGCCAGATTTAACACGACAGTGTCCAAATTAAGAGCCCAAATGTGGATGTCCTGTTACGATGCGCAACTGACTGCAAATATTTGGTATAATGGAAGTACAGTAACAAAACAAGCCAAGTTCTGCTATAAGCTATACCACAGCAATTCCACTGGAGTCAGGAGTGCAGGATTTGACCCAGAACTATGTAAAGAAGACACTGTGGGTTGGATTCTCTGTTAAACCAGTGTGAAGCCAGTGTAACCTCACTTTTACACCAAAGGACCTACACTGGTTTTACACTAGTATCCAAGATCCGCCTCCAGTGGCATTATTCCAGATTTACACTTGTGTGATTTGCATCAAAATCTGGCTCTGTTGCTTTAAACAAGCCAACAGGATTTAAAAAAAATTTAAGTGTTTGAGTCAATATATCAGATGCTCCAAATAGCTGAGGTGAGGCGCGTGTACAACCTGTCCTTCCCAGAGCTCTTAGACAGGAAGATCTTTGGACAGGGGCCATCTTTTTGTTCTGTGTTTGTACAGTGCCCGGCACAATGGGATCCGGAGCCCGACTGGGGCCCCTATATGCTACCGTAATATACCTAATAAATATTAATGATACCTCTCAAACTCCAGAGCTGTCACCGATGAACAATTCCCAGCCAGCAATAACCCTACCTACACTTTGCCCAGCAACAGCCTGTCTCATTCGAAGATCTCAAAGCTCCTTACAAACAGCAGTTCATTAAACTTCCCAATCCCTCGCCAGGCAAGTCAGCACCATCACACCGACCTTAAACGTTTATCGTTCCTTGTTACCACAGTAACGCCAAAAGGCCTCAGCTCAGCTTGGATCCTAAACTCTTCAAGGCAGGGACAATCTTACCATCTAAACAGACTGTGGGTGGGAGGGGAAACTGAGGCAGAACAGAGGTCTCCTGGTTCCCTTATCCACTGGATTTCCTTCCACAGGGGCAACAGAACCCAGGAGTCCTGACTCCCAGTCCCGATTCTAACTACTAGCCCATGCCCTCCCTCGGTCACAGCCCTCTAGGCGTATAGGTAAGTCCTGGTTTGGTTTTATGCTTTTATGAAGTTTTATTTTATAAAATCAGAATATTTTAAAAAAAATCTTTGCAAAACTGTGCCACGATGTAACTAAACAGCCCCTGGGGGCAGGGCTGTGCGGGGAGGCAAAGCCATTAGCAGAATTGCATTCTGGGACATAGCACAGAGCTAGTGAGTTGGGATGGATCCGAGCTAAGCCCGGCAGAAAGGCAGGCCAGGGCCATTGTCTAGCCCATACATGTTGACCTCCATTCCCACGCGGCCAGGCCCTGCCTCCCAATTCTTCAGGCCTGGTTCTGTGTTTGCAAACAGCTGAGAAGGATGAACGTATTCCAAAGGGGGGGTTCCAGTTATGTGGCCTGAAAAGGAGAAGCAGCCCCATGGATGTCTTGCCGACTTACGGTTGCTGGAGAGGCACGTGTGGTGTGGGAGTAAGACTGACTGGAGCTTCCTAACATGTATCCTCCCTGAATCACATAGGTTCCCGTTCCGCCACCACCACCTCCTCCGCCGCCTCCTCCGCCTCCTCCGCTCGGATTGGCTATGATCTGCCCTCCGGAGACGTACATAGGGACGGATCCAGTGCTGGCCACGGTCTGGGAGGTTGCAGGAGTGGTGACTTGCGCCGGGGTGGCTTGCGATTCATAGTAATTAGCTCCTGTGTTCTGCGTATAGAGAGGGGTCTCTGTGTACGGGTAAGTGCTGGAACGTCTGAAACAAGAGGGAGGTTTAGCGGAGCTGTGGACAGGTGCCACTGTGCAAACAGACGTTTCACATTTATATAGCCCCTTTCATCCGCCACTGAAATGCAGCCACCGCTGGGGTGGACCACAGCACCTGATTAATACCATAACAGTCTACGGCAGGAAATGAAGAGAAATCTTGTATCCCACAAAGTGCAGGGTGAATTTAGCGAGGCGGAACAATTATCCAGGCTGGAATTTGGTCGGGGTGATAGGGTTAATATGCCCAGGGCCTCAGTTCTTCATTTCACTAGAAAGATGATGCTAATAATACAGTGGTTTCCATACCTGGATCTCAAAGTGCTTTACAAAGGAGGGCAGTATAGTTAACCCCATTTTACAGATGGGGAAACTGAGACACAGAACTCACCCAGCAAAGCGGTGGGCAAGCGCTTGTTAGTGCCACGTTGACACCGCTTCCTGCAGCACTCTAGCTGCCAAGTTTGCATCTCTGATTCTCTCTCTCTCTCTCCACCCCACAGCCCTCAAGGAGCAGGAAAAGATGGGGAGGTACAAGCTGACTCCTCCTCCCCCTAGATCAGTGGGAGCAAGAGTGAGTGGAAAGGGGGGGGGGAGTCTGTTGGCCAGAAGCAGGTGGCGGGAGGTAGGTGGTGACGGAGGTTCCTGGGTAGCTATGAGGAAGAGGAGGTGTATGTGTTGGGGGAAGTGAGTGATGGAGAGGGTGGGGGTTGCCTGGGCCGCTGGCGTGGCTGGTGAAAGGATGGTTTGGTGAACGCTTGGCAGCTGGGGGGCAGAGGAATGCCGGTGGCAGTTGGCTGAGTGTGGAGGGGGAACCAGAGCCAGTCGGCTGCAGGGAGAGAGGTAGCCTGGAGCCAAGAATGGGCCCCTCAATTGTATGCCCCCAGCTGCCGCCTCTTCCACTGTTTCTGGCTGGTTCACAAGGGAATCAGCGTAAACAGGAGCAGAGCGGCTGCCCGGCTGCTTTCACAGGGCAGGACAAGTCATGGCAGGGCAATGCCTGCTGCCTGCCTACAGCCCCGCTGGGTGCAGGTAGCCAAGGTGGGCGCGGGGCTGCAAGGCCTCGCTGTTCCTTGGAGCCTGGCTCTGTGAGAGCTGAGAGAGCCGGAGCCTGGCCTGGAAAGAACAAAGCCGGGAGGCCGTTGCCCTTTAACTGCCCCCGCTGACATCTTGGGAGGCCAGCACCGAAGATCCCCGGGAAACGGGGGCAGTGAACAGGGTGCTCGCCTCTCTCGCGCCATGAGCGGGCTGCAGCGGCTTGGCGTGGGTCACTTACATGGTGCTCGCTGTGTAACTGGCGTCGCCCCCTTCCACGTACTGCACCTGGTTGGGATAGACATGCTGGACGGGCACCTGCTGCAGCTGCTGCACCTGAACGAGGCAGGGAGAGAAATTCATAACAGCCCGAGTCCTTCGGTACGGCTGTCCCCCTGCCCGGCTCTCACATGCTTCCTCTGAGGGGTTCAAGGCCCTCTGCACCCATTGAGCATCACAACCCCAGGAAAGGTGGGCCAGTATTCCCGCCCCTTGCCCCCTGGGGAAACTGAGGCACAGAGGGGTGATAGTGATTAAATACTGACTTGGAGGGGAAATTACACGTAGACTGGAAGCTCTTTGGGGCAGGGACTGTCTCTTTTTTTGGTCTGTGTTTGTACAGTGCCCAGCACACTGGGGGCCTGGTCCATGACTGGGGCTCCAGGGCATTACCATAATCCACCTAATAAATACGGTACAGTGCTCCGAACAGTGGGGACCTGACCCTAGGCGCTATGGTCATACGGATAATAAATACTAATCATTACACCGCGAGTCAGTGATCGAACCCAGGAATCCTGTCACCCAGGCCCCTGATCTAACCAACAGCCCCCACAGTCTCTCTAACAGGCAATGAACGTTTCCTCCAGGAAGCTGGGGTTCCTGCTAGGTAACGAGCTGTGGCAGCTGTTCGAAGCTCCTATTTTCGGAAGCTCCTGCGACGTTACTACTCAGACTGTTAGAATTTCTGAAACTGTTCCAACCCCGTCCATCACCCAGGGATCCCCAGGCATTTTATACCCACCACTAAAGGGCCCCACCCTCTGGGGGGGGGGGTGCAGCAGCTGTTTGACAGCTGCCTAGCAACACTGCATGAGAGTTTACGGTAGGAAGCGAAAAGGAATCCTGCATCCAACTGAAATGACAAGTAGGATTTCAGGGAAGCAGAATGTGAACTGCTCGTCCTGGCGTTTGGTCAGGACATTGGGGTTAATGAAATGGGACCGACAATGGCCAGAAGTAGCCCTGCCCGTGGGTTTCTGAAGGGAAGAGCTCAGTATTCTAACTCGCTCGTATTTTACCATGAAATCTGCTGCACTGAATCAGAATTGCTTGCGAACGGGAACGAATTGGTGCCAGTTCTCCCATGTCCCAGCCTTGTCTCTGTGGACGGAATCCAGGCACCTCCCCCCCCCCCCCCCCCAAAACTCGGCTCCTGGGCTCCTATTTCACTCAAATCCGAAACACAAACCAAATATCTGCTTTCAAGAGGTCCAAGAATTTCAGTGCCCGTGGCAGGGACTGGCCTAGGTGGGTAAGGAATGAAGGCAAAGCGGGGATCCCCGGTGTAATGCTACTGGCTTCAGCAGAAGGAAGTGGTCCGTGGTGTCCTAATGCAATGGGCTGGGGCTGCTGGGTGGTTCAGCTCTGCTCTCTGGAAGGAGCAGGGAGGGCAGAGGCAACTATTCTTGGATCTCCCTGGGGAACCTCTCCAGGACCTACTTTAAGAGCTGTAGCTGCTGTCCCAAACACTAGCACCTGAGGGACTCTCTGAATCTTGACTCTCTGGTCGGGACTGGCGTGATGAGAGGAGAGGAACGGCAGCTGCTCAATCACCACTTTTTGCTGCGGGAGGAGGAGGTGCTGAGGAAGCATTCGGACCAGTTCCACCCACTGCTCCGAAGTGGATTCTAGCGAGTGGAGATAGTGGAGCCTGTGCTCTTGGCTGGCTAGACAGCAGCTGGCCAGCGGATGCGTCCCGCTACTACACTCTAAGGAGAGAGGATGCTGCACTGCCCGCGGCTGCGGCTGCTCACTGTTCCTAGCCGGACCGGGGAACTCACTGCCTGCGCTCTAAACAATAAACAGAAACACTGAGGCAATCAGAGCTTGCATTGCGACCATGAGCTGTTCGACCGCTTCCCTGCTCATGGGGGAAGCTCCTGCTCAGAGTTAAACCCAGTCGCTACTTAATACACCACAACTGTACTCTGCATTTACATGGCGTCTTCCATCGGAGGACCTGACCATGCTGAATAACAGCAGGGAAGGAGAATTATTCCCATTATACAGATGGGAAAAGAGAGGCACAGGAGGTGACGTGACTTGGGCCTGTATTCTCAAAGGTATTGAGGCACCTAATTCCCATAGATTTCAGTGGAAGTTAGGAACCTAAATACCTGTGAGAATCAGGGCCTTGGTTAAATTGACCCAGTGGGTGATCTGGGAACAGAACCCAGGTGTCCCAAGTCACAGTCCCCAGCTCTAACCCCAAGACCACATACTGGTTACTTGGAGGAGGGTGGGGGGAGGAGGGAGAAGCCCACAATATGGCTGCTAGCCAGAGATGGGTTTGAGGAGCTTGCCATCTTACAACCCTGTAGTTTGAAGATCAGACTGTTAACTTTTGCAGCACTGGCTCTGTGCAGCGTTGCGAGCAGGTTCCCCCAGCAGGGCGGGCGAATGAGATCAGTTAGACCATGCTGGCTATACAGAGGCAGGAATCTAAGTAAAATTCCGGGAGCTGGATTTGGCCCTAGGGCAGCTCAAAACCAAATGTGTGGCACCAAAGCCTGGGTGCGGGATTTCAGCGTTTCCAGAGCTTCCTTTGTCCCAGCGCCAGGTCTATGGGGTGGGGATAAACATGGGGGGGAAGAGCAACTCTTTAGGGGATGTGAAGGGTAGTGGGAACACAGGACTGGCAGGGACCAGTCATCATGTCCAGCCCCCCTGTCACCTCATCCCATTCACACCCTGAACAAACTCCATCTTCAGAGGAGTTAGGTTGTTGCCCCCACTGCTCCTGTTGGAGGCTGTCCCAGACCCTCCCTCCTGTGAGGGGCAGAAACCTGCTTCTCATAGCCAGCCTCAATCTATTCCTGGCCAGTTTGCCCCCACTGGTTCTTATGCCAACTCTGTCCCTTAGCGCCCTCCCTGGGTCTACTCCCCAATACAAGGGCTGGGATGAAAGGTCACCCCCAAGCACAGACTGGAAGCTCCCTTGCTCAGAGAATGGAAAACGGCCGGGATGAACAGGGACCAATGGGGCATGGTCTGCCAAGGGAATGGCTTGGAGTGGACCTATCAGGTCTCTTCCCTCTCGGAAAGTGTGGCCAGCGAACAAGGAAGTGCGCTCAGTACCGGGGTAACTGGCTGAAATTCCCTGGCCTGGGTTATTTCTATGACATCATCCAGTCATCACAGGCCACTCAGACACCCCCCTATTGAGCCCAGTGACTTTGGTCAGACCAGGCGGTTCAGCCCTCGGACAGCGGGTGCCAGCGGCAGAGAACAGGAGGGAGCGAGGTGCCCCTGCAGTGGCCGGGGATTGATGTGGTGAGATGTTCCTCCAGGGGAGGTCAGCCCAGATGATCTAATGGTCCCTTCTGACCTTGAACTCTCTGCCCAGGCTGGGATCAGCTACTCTGCAAAGAGACGACTGTCGGTCTAGCTGAGGAGCGCCACGGCCGAGGGCAGAGGATGTCTGCCTCAGAACTAGCCGAAGGGCACAGCCCCCAGGCGGCTCGCTACGGGACTGGAAAGCTCTACCTCTTGAGTGACGTGAACCTGCTGGAGTCCTTGCACCGTCAGCTGTTGTACTGTGCCCGATTTCGGGGCCTGGGGGGTGGTCTGCACGACCGAGCGCTGTGGAGGCAAACAAACAGGCCATCAACAACCTCCCCGAGTGAGGGCCGTGCTGGTGAAAAGTACCACCTGATCGCCCCAAAGAGTCCAAGGCTGGTTACTCCGAGATCACAATCAGGCAGGGCACGTGCCGTGATGCATGCACACCGCCCTGCATCAGAGCGATCTCGGGGGTGAGAGGGGAGCTCCATTTCTCTGGCTATTCTCCTCGGCCTCAGTGCTAAGGCTGCCAACAAAGGGGTCTGTTAGCGCAAGGCAATGAACAGAGAGACTCAGAAAGGCCGTCTTTGCTTTGATGGCACTCGCTCATTGGGTCACTTATAGCCCAGCCCAAGCTGGTAGTAACCAACAGCTGCTCCTATCTGACGGCTGCTTGGCGGCTCCTGGGTGGAGTGAGTTAGGCTACAGGAAGGGCCAGGCTGGAGCCAAGCAGCCCAGCGTCCTGCCTCAGAGAGAGGCCAGCATCAGATGTGTACGAGGGAGGCGTAAGAACCCTCCAGAAGCAGATGTTGGACAATCTGCTCCACATTATCTCTCAGTCTGGTCTCTAAGAGTCTGTCTGCACCGCAGTCAGGTGGTGTTGGGTTGGAGCGTGTGTAGACGTGCTCAGGCTAGCTTCGATCAGGCTAGCTCAGGTGCCACTAGCAGCGAAGCTGTGGCAGGATGGGCAGTGACGTGGGCTAGTTCCGCCTCCCCAGGACCCTGGCTACATGTTCAAACGGCCGTTGCCAGTGGTGCTGTGGCTTCACTGCTACTGTTATTTTGATCTCGCTCGCTCGGGTTTGTCTACACATGCTGCAATCACCTCCCGTCTGCAGTGTAGACAGACCTTAATAGGCAGAGATTGGCTTCAACCCTGAGGCGGGAAATGTAACACCTCTTCCAAAATGGTTATCATTAATTATAACAATCCTGGGTATTCTTGTTATCCTTAGGAGTAGCCAGTCCCTTTTTGAATCTCGTTAAGTTCTTAGCCTCAATGACTTCCTGTGGCAGGGAGTTCCACAGTCTGATTCCGTGTTGTGGGAGAAAGTATTTCCATTGATCAGTTTTCAAGTCACCACCAATTATACCCCCCAGGTGTCCTCATCTAACTCAAACAGGTGCCGCTAGAAGTGAGGGCAGCCAAGGATGGAACAGACCCCGGAGATTGAACTCCCCCTCTCGCCCCACAGGGCAGGGCTCGGGCACCCAGGCTGGGGCCAGCGAGTGGCCACATCACTCTGATGTTGCCCGGACTGTATCTGCCCAGCAATAACAAAACTTTGCAAGGTTCATGTTTGTTTCTAAGTAGCAGAGACGGTCTGAGCGGCTGCCTCTTTGAAACATCAACAGATGTGAGTCGCTATTGGGGGGGAAAGATACTAAAATTGTATTTGGTAGCTGTTGTGGTGGGGACACTGTTTCTCAGATCTGCGATCCACACTCACACCCAATGGAGCTCCAAAGCCAAGCTCTTGAGAGCATTTACTACCATCAGCCCCCGGTGGGGTGGCTTTTCTTTCCCCACCAGAGAGGGCTCAGGTGACACCCCGGGGGGTTACTTTGGGATCTGCAACCATACAGCACCTCTTGCGAGACGGGCACTTGCTGGACTCCATGCACCTGAAGCTGCTGTACTTGTCCTGGTTTGGCGGTGGAGCTGTTGCTCTGGACAGGGGAGTGCTGGAAAAACAAGGAGGAGGTGTTTTATCAGCTGCTTAGTGGGAAGGAGTAACACAGCTTGTGTTCCCGTAACACATACCCCCTCCTTCCTGTTTCAGATCCCTCCTGGGAGCTCCTGGCTCTGCCAAGCCCACCACCCACAGCCGTGTGCTGTTCTGAGGGGTGACTTCGCTAGCTGCCAGATCTGATGGTGCTTTGTGGAACAGATGAGAAGCATGCAGGTTAAGACAGGAACAACAGGAAGTGACAGCAACACAGGAAGTGGGTAGACAAGAGCACAGTACTGTAATGTCACCCTTCCTCTCTCCCCCTGGCCTCTGGGGAGACAATGTGAGGAATATAGGAATTGCTAGACTGGATCCACTATCCCAGCTTCCATAGCAACCAGTCACAGCTGCTTCAAAGAGGAAGTTTCTTGCTACCACCTCTCAGGCAGGGTTTGCTCCTAACCCCTTTGCCATTCGTTATTCAATCTAATGTAATTGTTCCTGTTATTCGTGTAAATGCCCCACCCTTTTGTGAATCCAGTTACGTTCTTGGTCCCAATAACATCCAGTGGCAGAGAGTTCCACAAGTTAATTCAGAATGTGTAACCAAAAGAGTGTTTCCTTTCTATATTATTGTTGTCCTCTGCATCGCCAAGAGCGTTCTTGCCTGATTTTTGCCTAGCTTTAAAAAGTAATAATAATAATTCCTAGCTCTTATCTAGTGCTTTACATCAGTAGATCTCAAAGCACTTTATAAAGGAGGTGAATAGCATGTCCCTATTTTACTGGTGGGGGAAACTGAGGCACAGAGCGATGATGTGACTTGCCCAAGGTCGCCCAGCAGGCCAGTGACAGAGCTGGGAACAGAACCCATGTCTCTTGAGACCAGTCCAGAGCTCTATCCACTAGGCAGCACTCCTTGGGGCTGGGCCTGAGTTAGCTATTCTAGTGTCCTGCAGTGCTGAGTGCTCAGTTCACACTTGATAATTTGCTCCCAACTGTGGTTTCCAAAGTAGGTCTTTGCCTCCTTTAGCACAACTGTACCGCAGCCTCCCTGCTCCTGGCCTGAACTCCTGCTCCCTTCATATGTCCCAGGCCAGCAGGACTGGGTCTGAGTCACATGCTTCCATCATGTGACACCATCCAATCATTCCCTTCATGGGGGGAGCTCACCCCTTGCCAGTTCTGTTAGCAAGCTCTTCCTTCCAAGTTTCCTGCACATCTACGGTGTGTAAAAACCAGGATGGGGAAAAGAGACATTGCCAAGCTAAAAGATCACGTACTGCCAAAGGTCCTTCTCGGAGTTATTAACACTGGGAAGAATTTCATCACATTTTGCCTCTTCATAAAAGATTCCAGGACCAACCTTTCATCTGCCGGGACGCAGAGTCCTTGACATATTTGGGACCTTCCAGGGAGCCCTAGGTTTGGCCCTGATGTAAAATAGGATCCTGGTGGAAGCGACGTCACTTGACTCATGCACAAGGTCAGTGTAGAAGCCTAACAGTCCCCGCTCCTCCAAGGTGCTTCGGTGCCTAATTCCCACTGAATCAAGGGGAGCCAGGCACCTAAAAACCTGGGAGGAGCTGGACCAAAGTCCCTCACTAATTCATTACTTTAGACTGAAGCCAGGAGCAGAAGCAGAATAAGAAACATCTTGATCCCTCCCTACCCCCGCCCCAAAAAATTAAGGGCGACCCTCTGATTTCACTGGACTCTGCATTAGCGGGAGGAGAACAGGGCTAGTCAGAGCCGCTAGGGAGCAGAGCCCAGATCCTCAAACGTCCTTCAGCTCCTAACCAGCCTTGGGGCCAGGCCCTTAGGGGAGTGAATGGGGTGAAGGTGTCAGTTACAGCTGCTGGTCAGCAGCCAATGAGAGCGCAAGGGGCTGAGGGGTTAGAGCTGTGGTAGAAACTGTACAGAATAGAAATATATCTCATTCCCCGCTCCGCTACACCCCACTCCCCTTCCAGGGCTGAGACTAGAACCCAGGTGTCCTGGCTCCCCAACCCCTGCTCTGATCACTACACCCCACTCCCCTTCCAGAGCTGAGACCAGAACCCAGGAGTCCTGATTCCCCACCCCCTGCTCTGATCACTGCACCCCACTCCCCTTCTAGAGCTGAGACCAGAACCCAGGAGTCCTGGCTCCCCACCCCCTGCTCTGATCACT